TATTCCGTACTAAAGTGTTGCGTTCATTAGGCACAAATATCTTCTTTTTTTCTTTGAGTTGTTTTGTTTTGTTTTAAGTTATTGTGAGGAGGGATGCACAAGAATGATTAAATAAATTTAATAATCGCCGTCTAATACTTGTTTAATTTTGTGCTACACACCATAACCAATAAAGTATTTTCAAGATTTTAATGAGGAGGATTGGAGTTTACAAGAACGATAACACACCACTTGATAAATTTTGAGTTACGTTCCTTAGTTTCGTTTGTTTTTCCTCTTTTTTTGCCAGGATTATAACTGAAACATTATTTGAGATATTAATTTTAATCTTCATAAGTGGATAGAGCGCAATAAATGGGGCAGAATAAAAGTAAAGCAAGTCTAAAACTGCATTGTTTTTAGTCTTTGTACTTTGTTCCTTTTCTTGTACAACTATTGTCCAGGCCATAACTCATAAAGTTTTAGAGGTATTAATTTGAAACTTCATTCGAGGATAGACCATATTGAGAGAAATGCAGTTGACAAAAATAACAACTCTGTACTTGTTTAATTTGAAATTATTCCCCTTTGTTATTTTTCATCCTTAACTTGCGATTATTTACCTTTTGTCTCGGCTATAACAACGTTTTAGATATCAGCTTGAAAATTCATTGGTTAATAGCACTCATATCCAAAGTTTGTCCTTATATCTGCATTCACTTAAATGTCAGTATGTACAAATGGACTATCTTTTTATAACTTTTCTCATGTTCTCATGTTCAGCGTGGGATTTGGCAGACTATGAATGTTCCTTGTCAGTGTGATGTTAATGAAAGAAAAGTCACATTATAATGTTAGTGTAACCAAAGGCAAATAATCAGTTGTATTTTATTAATTGGAATATGTAGGGGTGATCTCCCTTAGCTGTCATGCGTGTAATGGTTCCACCGTTTTCTGAGTTGACAGGACTTTTTTCATACCATAAGGCAATCGGTTCCACAACTTACTACATTTTTCAATTTCTTTAAAAAAAAATTATAGTTTGTTTATAAATTACTACAAGGATTCACAGCCGCCTTGTTTTAACGCAAGTGCATTGACTGATTAAAAATGACTGGCTGTCGAGTAACTGCTTAAAGTATATTGTCAATGCGGGTACCACGGTCATGTTAAGCACGTTGTGTGTCGTCTGGAATTTTACAACAATTTTAGTAATCTTTTGGTCATATCTTAGAAGTTGATCTTTCTGACAGGCTTTTTGAATAACTGAATAAATCAGCAACATTACGATATTGATCACGATCTACAAAGTCCACATATGAGCCGTGTCACGACAAAACCAACATAGTGGGTTTGCGTCCAGCATGGATCCAGATTTGTTTTGTTTTTTGTTTGGAAATTGTAACTAAACCAGTAAACTCACTTCCGTTGCGTTAAAACATGGCGGCTGCGAAACCTTGTAGTATTTTATATATACAAAAAAAAAAATTCACCGATTTTAAAAGATTGTGAGCTATAAATCCAAGTGCCTATGATGCAAACATGTTTTTCAGTTGTTGATAAATAAAGGATTGTGGATTTTGGTTTGATAAAATTCTATATTGGTTGTTAGTCTCGTTTATTTTTTTAAGTGAGTTACAAATGATCTGTGTTTCTGAAGTTTATTAAAAGAAAGATAGTCATGTATATTGGACATTTTTTGTTTACAATGCATCTGATAATGGCAGCATATTTAAAGATAATATATATTTGCAGTAATTATCAATATATAAATCACTGTCATTCTCTATTGTGGTCACGTTTAATTGCAATATGTTGCAGTAACACCACATGACTGAAAGTGTATATTAGAATAAGTGTTATTTGAGCACAATCCACAATTGGTATGTATAATTGTACATGTCATACTATTATTGTTTTTACCAGTTTATAAGTTTTACTCTATTCATTTAATAGGCCACTCGATTGAATTATTAAACATCGAATTTAATTTAGAAATAATTAAATGATGTAATGGTCAAATGACTGTCATATTTGCCAATGTTATTATCATGCTATTTCTTAAATTGTATATATTGTGATGTATCAATGATCTCAGTTTGTACATGTATTTAGTATTGCCATGTTTATTTGTTTCAGGGCTTGATAAATATGTGTGAATACATGTATACATATTGATAATCCTTTCATTTGATTCGTGATTGGAGTCTTCATAACTGATTGGAGCTTTTATAAACTGCACGTGATGTGACTCAATTTATGTATAATGTGATCATAAACTGATGGGACAATTCAATTAAAATTATTGAACGAACGCAGCCTCGTTTAAAATGGCATACTTTTAACCAAGGTAACATTTGAATATTAAAAGACTTACTCTGTGTAAATTATTGATTACAACATATTACTATAGGAGTTATATTTTGCAGTAATAGTCATTACAAGTACAGTGAATGTAATAAATCGTTTACATGGTCGTTACATCCGGTATACAAGATTTAAGTTGATTTGTGCTGTTTTAAGTACCTGCATAAGGTAATTACAATGATGCAAGGCATGTTGGACTGTTAAATTCTTTTGCTACGTCTCATTTTTAAATCATTGTTTAACTAGTATTTGGATTGGCGACATATACAGTTAAAAGAGTTTAGGCTATTTTAAGACACAACTTCTTAATTTCAAGGAAGATAAGTTTTTTCCTCTAGAATAAGAATTACTTATGTGCTCTTCCTGTGTCCGTTCTTTATTGCAATGTCTAGTTAGGTGTCAGTGCGTCTGTTAAACCGGATGTTACCAGGGATGTGTGCGTCCCATGAACAGTGTGTTCCCTTCTTTTGTGATTTCTCTATATGTCTTTAATGCAAATGAGTGTCGAAAATAATTTACTAATTCTACAAATAATTCTGTATTATGAGTAACATATTAGGGTTTTTAACATATCAGAGAAACATGACTGGGGAAACGTTTGTCACAGAACTATCTTGTCGCTAAGGGCTAAGGGCTAACAATTGTCGGTGGTTGTACTCAGGAACGCGCTCGTGCATGAAATTATACACGGAAGGCAGCTTCAGGAGGTATTTCCCCACCAGTAAAGCTTTAAAGCTATTGTCAGGACCACTCCAGCGTCGGTGTGACTTTAAACGCAACAACAACAACAAAAATGGAGAAAAAATGTGTGGGTGCAAGAAATAAACAATGCATCCAAATCTTGATAGATGTTGTTTTATTTGTTCTACTTATACTAATTGTCGAAAGAAACATTCAATTGATATAATATCCATGCTTTGTTGCATAGTGATTTTTCAGTCAAACAAAGAAGGAAGGATAAGTTTCGATGCGCTGTTTCCTTTTTAATCAATGTAAATGTAGTTCAAGCTCCATCCGGGGCCTCGATCATTAAAGTCATCTGAGCGCCAAAGGATGGTTACTACATTTGAACTGGACTCAAATGGTTCACTGATAAGGTCTGCAAGGCCAGAGTTGTACCGCAACCAAGGAATGTCATTTCTGCATTCTAGAAGTGGATCTGCATTGCCCCCAAGGTCGGCCAGAAGAACGTCTGCAAAAATATTGCAATCTGATGGCTGTGTACACTCATCTGAAACACGAATATAATTTATTTATTTATTTATTTACTTATTTATTTATTTATTTATTTATTTATTTATTTATTTATTTAATTTTATTTATTTATTTTATTTAGTTATTTATTTTATTTTATTTTATATTATTTATTTATTTATTCAAACAAATGCATTGAATTAAAAATGGGTATTTAAAGAGTGAATCACATGCCTGATTATACTTCTAGAAAAAAAAAAAATTAGAATCTTTATAGTAAGCAAATATATTTTAAACCGTAAGATTCTGAATGTTGTAATAATAAAGGTTGTCACCACACGAAGTGAAATTAATATATGTATACAATTATGCTTCTTAAACAATTTTCAAACATGTAAGAATATGTAAAATATGTACTGCAAACATTTGTCCACATAATATGTAATCATTAAAATATAAGCATTCATTTTTTACTGAAAAGTTTGATTTGTACTTCATAGAAAATAAATTTTTAATTAACTCCCTTTATTAACATGAAATGTAAATTCGGAAATATCTTTACAAATCATGCTTTTTGGAAAATTACAATAGGAAAATTACAATATTGATAAATCTTTGATATTGATATTATATATAATATTGATATTATATTTGATATAAAACCATAAAAATGAGTTACAGGATCTTTACAAGACCTTAGAAATATAATAAATTGAGTTTGACAACAACAATGTACGGATTGCACATGCGGTAAAGGCGTATAATACATACCGTCATAAATTTCTACATCGTCAAATGACTCGGACGCCATGTAAGTAACGGTGATACGAATCCTTTTCCCGTCTGGAGCATATATTCTCCAATAGAATTCCATATCGTTACAGTAAAATGTCGGAAACCCTGGCGAAGTCAAAATTTGAGTAGTGGATGTCGCAGTAAGATTGTAACTTTCCCTAGCTGCAAAATAATGTATATAATTTCTGAAATCAATATATGCAATCTGAAAGCTCCGTCCTTAGCTCGTAAATAAAACAATAAAAATAGTTTTCATAAATCCTCCTTTGGTCAGGGCAAATAAATAGAATCTCATCAAGGAAGATGAAACAAACAAAAAAAATTAAAGAAAATAAGTATAAGAAAATAAGCAAAAGTGGTTAATGGATATCCTACCAAATCACAATTTTTAAAGTTTCCAAGTAGTAATTAAGTGCCTATTTAAATAAAATGAATTTGATGTTTTCAGTAGTATTTTTTAATTCTGAATTTTTAGATAACGAATTTCACGTTAACAAAGCCAATGTTTCATTCGGAACTGCCTCGGCTATTATCTATAATAACCTCGGAAACAATACGGATTGAAAGTAGTTCTACCACGTGGTTTCAGATGTAAACAGAAACAGAGATAATGTAAAACGAATGTATATATTTGACATCTAATGTCTGTTCCGGTACTCTTATGCTTGACAACAATTTGTAATTTAAATATGCCCACTGATGTTCAATTTTAAACAAATCCGACTAAATGTCAACAGGTTGGTTTTTTGTACTTTCGGTTTCTACAGCCATAATAATAAATGTATAAATAATGTATTGTTTGCTTTTGTACCTATGAATTCACTTATTTATGGTTTATACAAATTTATTTTAGTTCGATTGTGTTGGAAGCTATAAGCTTATTTAAACACTCTCGAATCCGTTCCTGGAACCAACCAGTACTAAGCAATGAATGTAAAGTTTCTTGCTCAAGGAAACAACGGCTTGCCCCTGACAGGGTTTGAACCCACGCGGTCAGCAATCCTTAGATTAATCCTTAGATTACTAGTCCGACGTGTTAACCACTCGGCCACGCCGCCATCACTTATTTACTACATATATTGAAAATTAACTTGTCAACAACTCCCAGCATCAAATTACTATTTGTTTACATGTTTAGTTTCTTAGCGTAGGTTAGACCGAAATACCGCATCCGATCTGTGTATTCATACTATTGTGTGGAAAGGGCCGAGTAGTTGCGATTGCCAATGTTTGTGCACCGTCTGTCAAACACGGTATATATTCCGTACATACTACGTTATCTATTGACTAAAGATAGCGTATTCCGTACCGTAGTATGTACGGGGTAACAATCAATGATGTTTGGGTTGAAATATGTTGCGTGTAGATATGTATGAATACATAGAAAAAATACATTGCGAGCAAGGTGACATATATTATAATAATTATCATTATTATTATCATTATTTTATATATTGCTTTGTTACTATTGCAAAACACAAGTAACTGATTGCCTTTTCTTATATGAAGTTTTTTATTATAGCATTAAATATCGAATTCTTATTTAAATATATAAAAGGAAACGCTTACCACCCTCAAGATCACACGGATCAGTCTGGTTACATGTCGGGGACTCACCTGTCACAAGAATTAAAATAGCAAAACTTTGAAATAAGCAAGGTCATTTTCGGAATATTTTCTTGTTTTTTTTCTTTGCCCTTTTTGAGTTTGACGATTTAGATTAAAAGCACTCACGAGTTAACATTCATGTGTCGATAAATACAAAATTTTCCTAATTAATCTTTCTTTTTCAAAGATTTTACAGGTTATACAAATTTAAACATACCATAACTCCATCCAAAGAAATAGATATACCAATTACAAAGTCCTACAAATACTTAAACAATACCTACTTGAACTTTTCGTAATAGATTCTTCTTCGTAGTCATACTAATCTTTACAAAATTATGAGCACCAAAATCCTACCTTTTCAAAGATTATACCAATTATACAACCTTTATCTTTACAAAACTCATTTTTTCATGATTATACTTATTACAAAAAAAACTCTTCAAAGTCATTCATATAACCAGAGACATAGATAACATTATGTTATCTATGTCTCTGATATAACTATACAGCTTATTCTGCCTTCTAGAATTCCCTCTACAAAGTCAAATTTATTCAAAGTTTAGCTATCCGAAACTCCATTTACAAATTCATATCTATTAAGTCGACCAAAACTCCTTCTTCAAATTCATGTGATAGCAATTTATATACATTTTATTTCACCCACTTCTAATCAAATGTATGCAAAAAATAATGTCTATACCAAACTGATAATTATTGAATTATTCGAATTATTGAAGAAGTAGTAGAAAATATATGAAAACCAAAATTAAATGCTACATAGTTCGTTTTAATTTCATTAAATGCAATACTTACAAGGGTAGGGTTGGACACCGGTTCCCGGTATCGGTCCTATACCGAATAGTAACTTCGTAAATTACCGGTATATACCGTTTCGTAAAATACCGGTACTGGATTCGATGCTTTTGTAATTTTGTAAAAAAAAATATTTAATAGTCCATATGTCAAAAAAATAAGTAGACTTTTAAATAAAAACAGCCTACAAACACGTAAAACAAACTATGAACTACTATTATCATGCGGCGAGTACGGCTTTCGCTGCAAAGTTGAAGTTTGTGACGCGGCGATATTTTTGTAAAAGTATTGTGCCGCTTATGTTCAAGATAATAATATTTTTGTACTCGGCAGGAAAATATAATTATTTAAACTGATTTGATAAAAGTTAGTAAGTTTTAAATGTCAAAGAAACAACGAGAAAACAAATCAATACATCGCACACAGTCCTTCCAAACACATCGCACACAGTTTTTGCCGTAATGACAATGTAAATCCAACCGTGATCCAACGTATGACAATTGTTTATTCAAACAATGCTTTTAAAAAATAATTAAATCCTTTTTTCAGTTTAAGTCTCTAAATACTCATAATGAATACATATTTAATGTTCCCAGGTTCTTTTCATCCATTACCACATGTACAAATCCACACATGAATTACGATTTGAACATAAATGAGGCCGAAATATTTCAAAAAAATATGCCTCCTTTTGTTCTTGGTGTAACACTGAACTATTATTAAACATGTATAAATATTCTTAACAAACGAATGCAGACAGAACTTCAATCAAAAAGTGTGAATGTCGGCGGCTCTTTGATGGTGATAGAGTAACAACATCAAAGGGAGGCATAATCTTTTGAATAGCCTATTATGCACCTGTCAAAGGTCAACTTGTGTATATTACACATTTAGATAAACAACTGAAACATATTTCATATAGTGTTTTGTTTGGAATTTTTTGCAAATGTTGACTAGTATTTTTGCGTATTTGAGCAGTATGGAATTATGCAATTTGGTGAGGATACCCTTTTTTTCTGTAGCAAGATGTTCACGGTGCATGCTATTGAAAAATAAAAGATGTTAAAAATTGAAAGGTAAATTCAATATTAATAAATACCAAATCCTTATTATTTGTAAAGCATAGGTATTTGCTCTATGACTTCTACAAGGACTAATATTAGGTTAACATGAAAATGTAAACAACTCATTTTGGAAACAGTCTGTGCTGACTGTGCATATACATGTATTTCAAAATTTCTAAGTGGATTACTGATGGAAAATATGTTTGTGCTGTTGTATTAGAACAGACTGGAAACATAAGTGACTTTGAAAAAACATCTAATGAAATTTCTTACATAATTCCAAATTGCAAAGTAAGCCAACCAATCCAGTGATTTCATTTATTACAGTAAACAATAATGTGATTTAAAAAAGAATATCCGCATCAGAATAAAATTTCTACACAGTAATAATAATAGATGTAAGAAAATAATATAGATAACCAACTGTCTTAAATTCTTATCAAGATAAAAACAATAATTTGCAGACTTCTCAGCTGCAGACCTCTGTCCTGCATAAGATATTTTTCTGTGTTTAAATTATGTCATGTTCTTTTGATAAAAAAGTAATAACATGTGTAAATGTTGTAAAAAAGAGTTAACACAAAACAACAAAACATGGAACTTGAGAAAAGTATACTTTACAGCATAAAATTTCAGAAAGACCAGTAATGGAACATATTTATTTTCTAGCATAACATGTTTTATCTCTTCAGTTCTTATACTTGCAGCAAAGGGTTTGATGTGGTATTGTAAAAGTATCAGTATCGATAAAATACCCGTATCGTTTCGTCAGTACCGGTATCGGTATCGGACCGTTTCGTGAAGAACGATATCCAACCCTATACAAGGGTTGTTATGCTAATACATTTTACTCACTCGTGTTGCAATTTACTCCTGTATAGCCATATCCTGAACAATCACACGTCATTTTACGTCCCACCAGCTTACATTGATATCTGTGAAAGCATTCACCTGTATATACACCCATCAAATAGTTTAACACATATAGTCCCCGGTATCGTTTTTACCATACACAAAGTTTTTTGGTTCCATGACAAAATGCATTGCCAATACAAGCAACATTTCAAATGTGCAATGCATTTAATTTTAGACAAACTTTCGGCATTGTATGAGATCATTAAATGAAAACTCGAAAATTCGTACTTTTGCCATGGGAAATTTTTGCCATGGCAAGACCGAGAGTCAAAGTAATTCTATTTTGCTTTTAAGATGTTAATATAATCACTTGGAAACTCAGTAACTTCTTTTATTTCCGATTACACAATCTGCTAAATTTGTTTGTTCGACAGTCTGAAGTATCATTGGCGTTGCTGTAGTTAAAGCTTGAAAAACATAAAAAGAAACTTACAAAGGTAGCATTTTTTCTGAGCGTTGGCGTTTGCTGAACCAAAACCCTGCAACATGCACATTTGTTTAGGAAATGAGGGCACTATTTTTGTGGAAAAAAATACATGCAAAATTTTTAACAACTTAAGTATAAAAAATGTAATTTTAAATGTAAAAGCACTTTAAGAATCACCTCAAATTACATTTTAAAAGAAAAGATCTTGTGAATAGTATGGACTATGGTTTATCTGACCTTAAATGGTATAACTTGTATATGTAAACTATCAGTTTTGTTAAAATCGGTGCTTTGGCGTGCCAACAACAAATAATGCTAATCAAACCTAGTTTGTAACATTGCAGTGGTCTTCGATCCTTTAATATTCATATTTTAAACAATTTCATTAGTTTCTATCGATATGCAAAAGCAAATATTATTTTCATACTTACATCCGTATCGTTGTCGCAGTTTCCATGGTAGCTCTTTGGCCCAATTGTTGTGTGTATGTTGCCATAAACATAACAGAAGACCTGCAAAGATGTGGACTTCGAATATTAAAAAGTATTTAAAGCTGCATGCCTGCGGATTAGCCAATAAATCAAGAAAATCAACTTTGACAAAATGTACAAGATTTTAGGACAAGTGAAAATATTCATACTATATTTCATATGCAATGAATGACTTATTACGCAGTATTAATCACCATATTTTTCTGTATGACCAACGCAGGTTCTTAATTTGTTATTTTAAGAGGACTGAAAGTTAAGTTTGAATGCGTAAACCTGCCTGTTGATAAAACATCTTAGTACAATTTTTCCTCAGTAAAACTTTAAAAAACAAACTTCAGTGTGGGGGGGGGGGGATGAAGCTTTACAGTAAAAAACTTACCAGAGCTAAAACTATCAAGCATCTCATTTTGAATAACTGAGGTGAATATTTCCGGGTTCTTGGAAGTTTTTAATGGATGATTTGACAAACCTGAAATTAACGTTAAAATATGAATGAACTTTGAAAGAATTAACAAAATCAGTATTTTTGGAATCAACTTCAAATATAACAATATCTTGAGAAAAACTATCCCTCTGAAGCATTAAAAACAGCAAAATTGCATGAAAATTGCAGACTTGTTTTGATTGTGTCTGTACATGAGGGGAAAAAGCTTTCTCTTGTTACAACTCTTTCGTCAAACATTTGTACAAACATTATAATATAAAGCATAAAAAGCACATACAATGATATAAATAGCATATGTTCATTGTTACAATGATTATAAAAACTGTTTTATTTTGCATTTTTTCTTAACAATCCTTATCCAACATCCATTCGATAATATTCTTTTACCAAATGTTAGTAACTACTCATGCTATGTCCAATAGCTAACAAAGGCAGACCTGTCTATAATTTGTTGATTACTCTTTACATATTTTTGTATCATTATTAAACCTAAATCAACGGTGCAAAAAAAACGTCTAACTTCTACGCGTGCTTTAAATGGCGTCCCCACGTTCCTTTTATAAATGAACTGCGTTCTTAAGATGACGTAATTTAGCAATTTGTGAATGAAAATGTGCATTATAGCGGCATTATAATAAAAAATGTTTTTAATGAAAATATTAGTTTTCGTAGTTTCTTTCCGAAAAATGGTCTAAAGGTAAATTGCAAGAAAAATATCATAAACGATCGACTGTGGCCACTGATGGTAATATCTCGGGTAACTGTTAAGCGGAATCTCGACAGAGTCTCAGTTACTCATAAGTCATAACTGCAGCCGGTGTAAGATTCTACACCCGAAGATTGCTCTGACGATCGGGATAGTGTCGGTGAAGCGTTCAGCGAATGTATCTCTATCTACAAGTTTCTCCTACTTAACCGCAAGTCTCACATTTAATAACTATTGTAAAATTAAATATTAAAAGACAAGAATATAAACATATTAGCTAAAACAACAAATGATCATCATTTAACAGTTTCTGAAAAATAGCAAATGAAAGTTTAAAAGAGAATTAAAATTGAAAATACAACTTGCCTTGACAATCCCCGTATTCCAACAGTTAAAGAAAATTGAATCGGAGTAACGTGATTTATACTTTTCAATATGTCACATCTTGTCTTGTTGACATGTTAAAAAAGTTACATTTGTTAATTAAGTGTTTTATAATTTAAAAAATGAACAGAATTTATCATACAAAGAGAAATAAAAAATGAAGTAAAATTAATTGGTAAATGTGATGGAAATTTACCAGATAATACCGGTTCTTGCAAGCGAAGGGACTGGGGTTAGCAATTAAATGGATCTTATAAGTTATGATAGGTCGAGGCCCATGGCTCACATAAGAAGGTCAGAAAGTATCATAGAAATAGTTAAGGATTCGAGCTTGCAGCTTATTGTACCAGGGATTTAAGCTGATACGCCAGTGTCAAACAAGGAGAGCTGGAACTTATAAATAATGCTAAGCTAGCGCCTTAACCTCAAAAATGAGGGTGGTGACATGACCAAGTGATTTATAACGAAACGGACTAGTAGTCCGAATATTGCTGGCCGCGTGGGTTAATCACCGTCAGGGGAAGCCGTTGTTTCCGTAAGCAAGATTCCAGGAACGGATTCGAGAGTATTTCAATAAGCTCATAGCTTCCAAGACATTCGAAGTAAAATAAATGCGTATACTAAACAAAACTAAAACTAGAAGGGTTTTGTCACAAAAAAGATATGTCTCCCAAAACTATGTATAGTTCTGATCACTCCTGTGAATTTTGGTGGACATCTCACCACAGCTAGGGATGGTATTGATCACTAATGTGAATCTTCTTTGAAATCGACCTGTGAAAGCCGTGCAAGATTTTTGTAATTATAGCTCTGGCTGCCATTTTGTGCAGCAAAGCGGAACATGCCGGCGATATGCACAACTAGGGATGGTACTGATCACTCCTGAAAAGTTTGGTTGAAATCCCACCATTAATTTGACATGTGAAGGCCAGACAAGAATTATTTATTTTTAGCTCTGGTGACCATTTTGTGCAGCAAAGCGGAACATGCCGGCGATATGCACAACTAGGGATGGTACTGATCACTCTTTTTACGTTTCGTTTACCAGTAGTTTGACCTGTAAAGGACGGACAAGCTTAATGCGGATGGACGGACAACCGGACAGACAAACGGCGAAGGCAAAAACAATATGTCTCCCAAAACTTTTGGGAGACATAATAAAGGTTTGGCAAACTAGCAAATTATAGTCATACAAGAAATTTGAAGCTGGCAATACACTAATACGTGTAAATAATTGTCCCAGTAGGACTGAAGCTCCAAAATGATCAAAGAAGATGCTAAAGTCCAAGATCGATTTTAGACCATGAAAGTTAGCATGTAGTGGGATCATTTATCCGGCTAAGATCTGAAAAAATGAATATCAGTTCATAGATTGAATGTAGAATAAACATATGATATAATTAAAAGGACATTCAAAAACACATAGTTCAAAAACGCAATAATTATACGACGCAAAATTATCCGCACTTTAATGCAATAAACATAAAACATAATTAGAAGGACATTCAAGAACACATATATAGTTCATAAAACGCAATAAATATACGACCCAAAATAATCCGCACTTTCCCCAAAGATTAACATCTGGTGATTTGCCATTCGTTTTTCTCGTTTATTTTGTGTGTTTTTTCGAATCACAAAGTTTAAGTGTGTATAGTTAAGGATTGGTGATTGTCTTATAATAAAGATAATTAGAAACTGTCTTAAAAACTCTGAGAATTGGCAAATAATTGTTATATCTGAAATTATACCCAACAAACAAACAAACGAATAGAACTACCTGTTAGGGCTGTCTTCAGGCTGTTCCTAGACAGTTTTGTAATATTTAAGAAGTGTTTAGTAGTGAGTGACATTCAAAATGTGACTTTTTTTCACACAAAAAAAGATGGTGAGTCTGTGGTCTCTCATTTCAAACCACTTTATCACCGCTGTTAGAATCTCGCCAGGAACTTCGGATGTTTTCATGTAGGAAAGCTATACAGATAGCTTGCTAACGGAACGACGATGGTTCTACCCAGGTGTCAGTTGGTGTATGAGGTCGTCTCCCACCAGTGAAGCTCGAAAGTCGCATACATTTCAAATTATCTCGATGTGGTTGTAAATAAATTTCAAATTATCTCGATGTGGTGGTAAATAAATTTCAAATTATCTCAATGTGATGGTAAATAAATTCAAATTATCTCAATGTGGTGGTAAATAAATTTCAAATTATCTCGATGTGGTGGTAAATATATTTCAAATTATCTCAATGTGGTTGTAAATAAATTTCAAATTACCTCAATGTGGTTGTAAATAAATTTCAAATTATCTCGATGTGTCGGTAAATAAATTTCAAATTATCTCAATGTGATGGTAAATAAATTTCAAATTATCTCAATGTGGTGGTAAATAAATTTCAAATTATCGCGATATAGTGGTAAATAAATTTCAAATTACCTCAATGTGGTTGTAAATAAATTTCAAATTATCTCGATGTGTCGGTAAATAAATTTCAAATTATCTCAATGTGATGGTAAATAAATTTCAAATTATCTCAATGTGGTGGTAAATAAATTTCAAATTATCTCGATATAGTGGTAAATAAATTTCAAATTACCTCAATGTGGTTGTAAATAAATTTCAAATTACCTCAATGGGGTGGTAAATTTTATATTAAGTATATACATGTACTTAACTAAAACTAAACTTTCCATTCATTATTTAAAGGTATATTGTATATTGCTCCTGTTGCTGTCTGGGAATAAGTTCAGTTATAGTTATTTAGTATTAAGTATAAAAGTCAAAATACTACTTTGTTTACATATTGCTATTTCATGACAATACTTTCACTTTCTGAATGTCTTCAGTGATTCCGTACATTAGTTTAAAGCCCAATCCCCCCCCCCCCCAATTAAAGAATAAAAAAATAAAAATAAAAAAAACAAGAAAAAAAACTTGATATATCTTCGATTGAATAGTGAACTAAAATTTGTCCCCCAAATTTTGACTATGAAACTAAGATGACAGTTTGACAATCAGTTTATAAATGGCAAAAATGGTTTCATTAAGAGTGCAAGTAGCATTATGAATTGATTCATCGAGATGTAGCAAAAGTGCATTGAAAGTGTGATTTGTGTTTACAGTTCTGGTTTTTATTAGCATAAGGATTTTTCGTACTTTTAAAAATATATTAGTTGAAAAGTACAAAATAACAAGTTAAAAAAACATTTTACAACCTTATGTTGTATGGATATTAACAAAACTCTAGCTTTCATATTGATTTTATTTGTAAATATGATAACATGTTCAGATGTTGCTAAAGTGAGAAAGCTGGTATCGGAGAGATACATGCATAGATAACAAAGGGAAGTAACGCAATTCGTAGTTTGAAATATTACTAAATAAGTTATCCCCATTTATTTATATGCTTATGCACCTGTCAATATTTTGCCCTACCGGGGGGGGGGGGCATACACGGGGCTTTAGACAGAAGACCATTCCTGACAGGCGGGAATTTGACAAACTTATGGAATCCGGGTCCCGGGTAATAGACTTTGGCGACGACGGCGATATTTTTATTCGTGTTTTTGAAGTTGCAGGCATGAAACTTTTCGAATTTTTCTACGGTAGAGAAAATTGTGGGATAAGGCGAGAAGGTTGCCCCAGAATTGGGATTTATTTGCAAAGGTATACAGGGATTGTATTCTTCATTTGTTTTCACCTATACCCAGACACTATGTTGAGAGCGGTATTCATGTTTGTCATCTGTTTTTGCGAATAGACCCATTTATTTTGCGAGTCTGAAAGGCGTTGGAAATCACATGAAACTGACACATATATCGTATTAATAATACTAAATCCACAAAAGAACGTTCACTTTGCCTGTAGAATATAACGATTACAGCAGAAAATGTCGTATCAATTGAGATAATCCCTTTAACTGCAGTATGAATGAACT